GCACACTCATTTACTGAGGGCAAATGTATATACAGATGTACGGTTGTGGAGAAACAAGGCATATGTGCACATTAGTTAGGTGCCCGTGTTGCTTCGTTTTTCTATGCACGGTAACTACACACTTCCCAAACACCTGACCTGTAAGCACACAAAGCATCATCTCTGTTTTTCTGCATTACCACAACAGACAGCCTCCACTCCCACACTCAGCACTTCATCTCACATATCAACTACCAAGCTTTTGTCTTAAGCTCAAAATCACTCTTTTTTATAGGGTGGAACAGTCATTTCTTAAAGAATTATCAAGCAAAGCTAGTATGTACATTTAGGTATTATGAATAGATTCAGGGAAAGCTCATCATGCAAGCAAATCATCACAACTTGCTTGATTGTCCAATAAGCACTTAGATTTAAAGAAAAAAGTAAAGAACATCATGTTCCTTAATTCTGTGGGTGCTGTATTCCAAGTATGTGCTGCTTGATAAGAGAAAAACTGAGTGCCCAAACCCACTTTTCCTGAGGGGTATTAAAGGGAAGCACTGTGTAAATGTGTATGTGTATGCGTTAGTCCCCGTAGGGAAATTACTCCTCTGCATTTAACCCATTCACCCAGTGAAGCAGTGGGCAGCCACCAATGCAGCGCCCGGGGAGCAGTGTGTAGGGATGGTACCTTGCTCAGGGGTACCTCGGGGTAGCTGTTCAGTGGAGTCGAACCCCCGACCTTCCGATCATGGGGCAACCACTCTACCTACTGAGCTATCCCTGCCCCTGTGTCTGTGTTGTTAAGAGATTACTAGTTTTCTTATTGAGGCTACTTGCTTGTGACCTGCTTATTTGAGCTTGTCATTACAGAGGTTTGTGAATAAATCCGTGCGTCATTAGCAGCTCACCCACCAAACTTTTCCCTGTCATCAGTGTACACCGATCAGGCATAACATTATGACCACTGACAAGTGAAGTGAATAACCCTGATTATTTCTTCATTGCGGTACCTGTTAGTGGGTGGGATATATTAGGGAGCAAGTGAACATTTTGTCCTCAGAGTTGATGTGTTAGAAGCAGGAAGAACGGGAAAGCATAAAGATTTAAGCGCACTTCACAAGGGACAAATCGTGATGGCTAGTTACGTCAGGGTGCGTTGCATACCTAGGATACACCTGGCACCAGAGTGCACTATGGGAAGAAGGCAAGTCAGCAGGGGCAGTGTAATGGCTTGGGCAATGTTCTACTGGGAGACCTTGGGTTCTGCCAACCATGTGGATATTACTTTGACATATGCCACCTCCCTAAGCATTGTTCTAGAGCAGTGTTTCCCAACCACTGTGCCGTGAGAAATGATCAGGTGTGCCGTGGAAGACTATCTGGTTCCACCTGGTTAGCGAAAAGTGTGAGTAACGGGCAGAACAATTACATTCTCTTCCACTAGAGGGCAGTACACCTACCTGCTCTGATTAAATGGGTTGTTTAACTGCCAGTAAGACAGAAGAAGACCAAGAAGAAATTACATTATTGTCATGCTGTGAGTGAGACAATGCAGCGCGTAATAGCAATAAATAAATATTTGAAAGAAAAAGTAGTCAATCTGACCTGGGTCCTGGAGAAATTCCGACCCAGATGAAGGGTCGGAATGAGTATGAGTAGTGGTCA